GCTGTTCAACGTTCAACGCTTGTTGGAGGAGGCGAACGATGGTCTAACAGGACTCTTTACCGTGTCCTATATGTCCTATGGGACCAATGTCAGGAGAAAGTGAGGCCAGTACATTGTGGTAATCCCTACATCTTCCATGTAATGGGTAACACCTAGCGGTCAACATTCATTCACACGACGTTTGCCTAAATAAATTGAACGAATGGGACCCGAGCTTCCAGAAATTTCTCGAAGATCTGTGGGCAATCGAAGATCTGTACGATAAACAGTTCGGTACGGGCATGGATTCGAATCCATGACCTTCGGTTAAATACGCCGCTGCTCTACCACTTGAGCTATCGTGACAGATCCACTCGGACACCAACTCCCCATCTCAACCTCACCTCTCGAATTTTCCCTCCTTTTTGCAATTTTTCAAATATCATGTAATCTATTTGATTCTCGGCGAGAGCTTTAGGGAAGTATACTTCATTTTGATTATTAAATCCATTAGGTTTCGTGGTCCGATTGACTACATGAAATCTTTTCAATTAATTAATCTTTAAGTAAGGTATTGGTTGAGATAAAACTTCATTTGTCGCCGAGAATCAAATTGATTACACGACATTTGAAAAATGGCAAAAAGGAGGGAAAATCCGAAAGGTGGGGTTGAGACGGAAGCAGCGGCGTATTTAGCCGAAGGTCGTAGGTTTTAGAAAAACATTTTCTTTATTGTGCCAACGTTTCCATCTTTGTTGAGATCATCTTCAGTATCGTGCCAATGTTTCGATCTTTATTCACATCATCTTCAGATAAAGAAAATGTTTTTCTAAAACCTACGTCACACCAGACCGCATCTCACGATTTCCGAATAATCATCTACTAACGGTCACTAATCACCACTCATTTTAACAATTATAAATAATCCATTATATTTGGCTAAATAACTTCTTTCAATTAATTAATCTTTATGTAAGGCATTGGTTAAAAAATCGCAAAACGGAGTGAAAATTCGAAAGGTAGGTTGAGATGGGGAGTTGGTGTCCGAGTGGATCGAAGTCAGGACGATAGCTCAAGTGGTTAGAGCAACGGCGTATTGAGCCGAAGGTCGTGGGTTCGAATCCCGCTCGTGACACTGCCTTTTATCTCAACCAATATCTTACTCAAAGATTAATTAATTAATTTAAATAGTTTGATAAATATTAGTAAAAGGTCGAAAATAAAAGGATGGAAAACTTAGGGACAACAAGCTGCAAAGACGGTAGAGGTAAGAAAAATGCTTCGTACAAATTTGGCGAAATAGTGGAGTAAAAACCTTCCTTGGCAGTAATTGAACAAACATAAAGCCGCTTAGTTGGTAGACAACCAAAGAAAAAAGTCCAGAGCAATAAAAACTAGGAAAAGCTACTAAAACAAACTACTATCTCTGTAGAAAAAGCCCAGTATAAAAGTACTATAAGAAATAATCGAAAAGAACAGTAATTGTTCACCTCTTTCGACCCGGAAGGTCAACAATGGTCAAACAACAGATAATTATTCTTTTATGCCATGTAACTTTTCCAATGTAGCTGAATAGCACAGACAATTTTGTTTTCCAAACAGTTAATCATTCCTCCAACCCCACTTTGTTTCATCATTTCATTTTATAATTATTTAATAGAATTTTCCATTTTCTGTTTTTTATTATGTGCTCTATAGAGTGAAGTTTTGTCTCCCTTCTGTCGACTTCCATTTTTTAACGGTCGACTCTTTGAATCTTCAATGTCCGGCGAATACGGCAGGCATCCCCAGAGTTTTCTATTTTATTATTAATTTCCACCGGCCGCATAAACAGGAATACTTTATCTTTTTTTCTGGGTTTAAACAATGCCCTTTTTCCATGTTGTATGTCAATATTATAATATGGAACAAAATACAGTTATCGATGCATAGATACTAAGACATATGTCGATTGTATTTGGAAACTATCGATAATGTTTTTAAATTATTGTGCATATATATAAAACGTAAAAATCTGTTTTCTACGGCAGTCGTGCGTTCTTGATTTAAGTACTGAATGTCAGAGCAACAATCAAGAATTAGAACCAACATAAAAATACAGTTTTGATGTTGTAATTTTCAAGCATGTAGGTCTTTGTCGTAATAATCAATTCTGAGCCATATTAAATACTATTAAACTAAATTTGTTTCACTTACTGAATCTTTATGTAAGGTATTGGTTGAAATGTAAAAGTTAGTGGAAGGTCGTGGGTTCGAATCCCTCTTGTGACACTAACTTTTTCATTTCAACCAATGCCTTACGTAAAGATTAATTAATTGAAAGAAGTTATTTAGTCAATCGGACCTCGAAATATAATGAAATTAAACTAAATGTTTAAAAGTGTTAAATGTTTACAACGTTAAATACTCAGAGTTCATCAAGGATGTTATTTTAATAAACCTTATCACACTACAATAAACTGCTTTAAAAAAATACACAACATAGGTCTATTAGTTAATTCTGAATCAGTAAAATCTGTAAAAGCAAATGTTTAAATTTAACCAACATGGATCAATTAACAGAAAATCCATACATAGAATGTATTTCCAAAATATATTTTATAGATGTAATAAAAATATGCACATATGTATGTAAGCTATTTCTATGCAAATGACAGTCTTGTGCTACCATTCCGTTTGCCGATATTTATTACCCTTTGAAACCCCGGCTCGACCGTTACATGACAATATCCTTAATGTTAAATCGTTTTCTTTTATTGTATTTCTATTTTGTTATTCTATTTTTTCTCCTTAACGTTAAAAACCGAAAGCAAAAACTTTATAGAGAAATATTGCCATGGAAATAACGAATTTTGTTCATTAGACAAACGGTAATTTATATTTGAATGTATTAGTTACATTAAAGTACATTTCGCTGTAAAGTTATACGGCGTTAATTCCACCTTACTGTCGCCGAGAAGGGAACACTTTGCGAAATAAACTTAGCACATGTGCTTTATAGTTTGCAGTATTAGGTGAAGTTCTTTGCAAAGCAGTACGGTGGACAAAGCCAAATGTAGTTTTCAAATTAGGGAAAATTTGTGATATCAACATCTTTGTTCTTTTAATGGGATTACATGCCGAAATAACGATCCACTTCTTAAGTGATTAAGAAAAAGAAATGATATCAAATGCCGAGAGAGAGAGAGAGCGCGAAAGGGAGAGAGAGAGAGAGAGAGAGAGAGAGTGTGTGAGAGAGAGAGAGAGAGAGTGTGTGTGAGAGAGAGAGAGAGAGTAGACAGACCCAGTAGAGTGATCAAAGCACCCATCGTTTTAACATCATTGATTCAGCATTGATATTTCGGCAAAAACGTAACTACTTAAAAATTTACTGGTACAACATATATTAATTTCAGAAATGATTAATAAAACAAAACATTTACTAATTCAGAATTCATAATATGACAAATTATTGGTCTTATTATAGTATAATAGTCTTAGTAAACTTAACAATTAACTAATATAACATGCACAGTCAGTTCATATTATAAAAAAATATTACCGATTCGGAATGGAATAGTGTAAAAATGATGAAACTACATCTCAAATGGCTATTACAACAAATATTGCACGTTCAGAACTGATTATTACGACAAAGACGTAACTACATCCCAATTGATTATTATAACAAATACAATATGTTCAGAACTGATTATTACGAGAAAAAACGCATTAATTCTGAATTGATATTTCGAAAAAGTCGTAACTACTTCACATTTGACTATTACAACAAATAAAACATGTCCATAATTGATTTAACATTTGACTATTACAACAAATAAAACAAGTCCATAATTGATTTAACATTTGACTATTATAACATATACAGCCCGTTCATGCCTGATTATTACGATAAAAATATCACTAATTGAGAATGGATAATTTCGAAAAAGTCGTAACTACTTCACATTTGACTATTACAACAAATAAACCAAGTTCATAATTGATTTAAAATTTGACTACTATAACATATACAGCCCATTCAAGTCTGATTATTACGACAAAAATATCCGCAATTGAGAATGCATTATTACGAAAGAGACGTAACTACTTCATATTTGACTATTACAACATATACAGCAAGTTCATAATTGATTTAACAATTGACTATTATACAAGTTAAGACTGTTATATACTATTAGACGTGAGTTTTTTTAGAAGCGACTATTAGAACAAATACAACAAGTTCAGAATTGATTATTACGACAAAAACATCTCTAATTCAGAATTGACTATTATGGAAAAGGAGTAATTAATTTACAATTCAAAATAAATATATCAAGTTCAAAATTGATTGTTACGACATAGATATTTCATAGTTGACTAATACTACAAGAATAAACTCAACATTGAAGATTGTGACATGACGAAGGCGTCTCACATGCCGAAATGATCGGAAATTAAGTTATTGAAAGTTAAATAAAATCACCAACTTTAACTAACAACTCCATGATCTTCCTTGTTGATTTTTAACCATTGTCTATAACCGTTCTTTGGATATTGCGAGAATAGGCTGATCGGGATGATTGTGGAAAAATTCCAACCTAATAATACATAATCTAATAGATTAGCCATTGTAACTGCATCACAATTTATTTAGAACATAAAAAAATCCAGGAGTTTGTATTCACAATTGTTCATGTACGGAGGTGGGGTTGAAAATTGTTTTGAAAAACTAAGGAAAACTTATTTTAAAAAAATACAAAGATTTTTTCCAAAATGTGTAAAACAGCAATAGTGGTTGAATATTAAACAAAAAAGAACAACAAAATGCATTATAAGAAACTAGCGAGTTTATAAATATATTATCATAGAATTCTTTTAATGCTTAAAAGTTTTAAATTTAAATTTGACCTGATACTGTTATGATAATATTTGGTATTGTATGTAGAAAAGGTAAACTTATTGTAATTTACAATATTCTATGTAGAACGTATTTTGATATAAATTGTAAATAATTAAAATTTAAATATTTCCAGTCCTACGATATGAAATGAACATGATATTGTTTAATTTTATTTAAGTAAACGACCACCCGACAGTAAAGAATTTTCAAAACGAAAACAATTTTTTTCTCTTTCAAAAAGTTATTTCTCCAGTGCGCCTTTCCCCTCTACCCTTCAGTCTTTACGATTCTGTTCGTCTTTAATGTCAGAAAATTCGTTCGATTTGGGTATGAGCGAGTCTTTCTTCAGGCTCTCGTTTCTCAACGATAGGATCTGCATTTTCTTGATTTTGTTTTGTTCTTCCAGGTCGGTAATGGCGAAAGGGACTTTCTTGCTTTTGTGTATGACTTTCGCCAAGTTGGTACGTTTGATGGTTTTCGTCTGGGTCGTAAAACCGCCCTGTTCGACCGCCCGATCCAAGTCGAAGTTTAACACTTTTTCGTCGTGTTCGATCCCGTCCCATTTGCCCCTGTACCCTGGAACGGGCCTTTTCTTTAGGCTTTCTCTAGGCAACTTCGCAGTCGCGGGTTTGTCGTTGACGACGGGTTTCGATGGACTTAACGTCGGCTTCGGCACCACTTCGGGATTTTTAACCTCGGGCTTAACGTCTTCGGTGATCTGCATGACCCGCCTGGGTTTCCCTTCCTCGCTCGAGGCTTTAACTCCGTTGGCGTTAGAGTTTATGAAATCCGTATTGAAATAGATTACCGTGACGGTCATGTCGTCCCTTATTATCCTGACGTGTTCCATCGGGAAGGAAAGCTGCTTGGAGACGACCTCGTGGTCTCCTCCGAGTGCAGCCCTTATCAAGTGAGTCGCAGCACTCTTGTCAACGGGCCTCAACTCGTGAGCTTCTTTTCCATCTCTTCCTGGAAATAAGTCTTTAAACTTGTGCAACTGCAGCTGTAAAATGGAAGACTTTCCAGTCATATGGTCTCCTACCAACTGGACAACCTGAAAGACACAAACAATAATTATTTACATTCAAATTTAAACTTTTAAAGCTAGACCTCACAAAATGTACCTCACTTAAATCTCATGGTGAACGACAACGAAATTACTAATAGCTTCTGAACAAAACCATCAGGGCCAAATTATTAACCTTACTATCTCATCATTAAAGGAACTAGCCTTGTTTTAATTACTTGAGTCAAAAATGTAAGTATAAAATATTTCAAGGCTTCTGTGACCAACTCCCGTGTCAACGATGCCATTGCATGGAAACATGGTGCGTTGGCCCGGCTAGCACTTCTGGTGATTATCAATCAAATAACTTTCACTAAAAGAACAAGTTTCCTGTCGCGTGACCATTAGAATCTCGGCGTGTTCATGCAACACCGAATTTACTAATCAAAACAACGCACAAAAATTTTCCCAAAGTTTACGAACTTAAGATATCGAATGCCAGATGGTTATTTTGGTATTATTCTGCACGAAAGACGAAAATACAGTCACCACCAATGATTTTACTTCAACCCACCATTGAATATTACAACTAATGTACCACCACTCGAACATAAATGCCCTGGGATTTAATATTGCGAAAACACAACCAGAACAAAATATTTAACTAATACCCACACCCAATAATGACTATTACAACTGTACCACTCCTACAATATAAATGCCCTAGAATTTTATAATGACAAACCCAACCGTAAGAAAACATTTCACTAATACCACCATTGACTATTACAACTGTACTACCACTACAACATAAATGACCTGAAATTCAATACTACGACAAACACGACCAGAACAAAATATTTAACTAATACCTACACCCAATAATGACTATTACAACTGTACTACCACTACAACATAAATGACCTGGAATTTAATATTACGAAAACACAACCAGAACAAAATATTTAACTAATATCCACATCCAATATTGACTATTACAACTGTACCACTCCTAAAACATAAATGCCCTAGAATTTTATAATGACAAACCCAACCGTAAGAAAACGTTTCACTAATACCCACCATTGGCTATTACAACAACTGTACCACCACTAAACATAAATGTCCTGGAATTTAATATTACAAAACACAACCTGAACAATATATTTAACTAATACCCACATCCAATATTGACTATTACAACTGTACCACTCCTACAACATAAATGCCTTAGAAATTTATAATGACAAACCCAACCGTAAGAAAACATTTCACTAATACCCACCACCATTGACTATTACAACAAATGTACCACCACAGCAAAAAAAAAAAAAAATAAATAAATAAATAAATAAAATAACCTGGCTACTAAATACAACTACCAGTAGACATAAGTTGCAATAATTGACTACTACAACAAAGTTACCATCTCGAACGCAAACATAAATAAAATAGAATTGATACGACAAAGACAATCACCAGAAAAGATTGTATATATTATTTACTATTACAACAAATATACACCCACAATAATAAAGTTAACTACACATAGGCCAAAACCATTACTTATCACAACAACCAAACGCACAATTACATTATTACTTATTTATTACTACTACAAAATTACCACCTCAATAAGCATTAGAAATGAATATTGACAAAGACAAACAGAAGGTAAGGTTTGACTATAATCTACAAACACAGCTACGATTATGACTACAAAGTATCAAAACAACCAAAATTATAATTAACTTAGTTCAAATTGGCATGTACAACAAGGTGAACTTCACAAGAAACATAATACCATGGAATCGAGAATTACGACAAACGCAATTAACGTAAAATATTTAATTATCACTTATCAATCACAACAAATTACCATAGCAAAAAAAGGTGAATTACAGATTCACTACAACATCGTTACTCCTTCAAACACAAACATAAATAACCTAGAATTGAATATTGCGACAAAGATAAGATTCATAACAGTGAATTTAACCTACAACCTTCCAAAGAGAAAACAACCAATGGTTATTCTAAACCAATTGGACATGTCTACCAAAATTACAAAATTTGAGATTTGAGTAATTTGGTTCGTACCTTTGTCCATGACCCACACCAACAAAAACACTAACAAGTTACCATAGAAACCCATTCTCTATTCTTTGAGTTTAACCAAAACAAAACGGCAAAAAATGGTAAATATTAGGGGCTTACCATTTGTGGTGAGAGTACATCCCACAATCCGTCCGATCCGATGACGAGGAACTTGTCCTTCTCTGTCAACCTGTGTGTCACGACGTCGGGTGTGGCTGTCAAGTATGGAGGCGTTGCGTAGTTCGGGGGTATCACACCTCTTCCGAACTTGGGAACTGCGATTTTCTCAAGCTGCTCCACCGACCATTTATACCTGTTAATATTATACAAATTGTCATCTATGGTTTGAGATAAATATGCTAGTAAAATCTTGAGTTTTAGTACTGACCTGTAATCTCCAAAAGCTCTTAGTGGTACGAGGGACTGGAAGAGCCTGCCGTCTTGAATGAGGGTCAACCTTTCCGAAGGCGGGTGCTCGTTTTTGATTCTGGCCACTTCCACTTCGTTGTCACATGTGTGCTCGTTCGTCAGCTTTTTAGCGTTCCACGATCCGAGGGTCGTAGACTGTCCCAAAACGGCCTGACAATCGCCTGCGTAGGCGACGTGCAAGTCGATTCCTGCGACCACGGCCACGCAGGCCACAGCTCCAGACATGGCGACACCCAAAGACAGACCTTTGTTCTTCTCCTCTTCCGCCGCTTTTCCAATATCGCTGTCAAGCCTGTCGAAAGCCCTTTTCAACGTCTCAGGCCAGTCCATAGACGGGTTCGTGAACTCCAAAGAGTTCGCCCATTGCTTCAGGCTTCGGTGGTACACCTCGACCCTGTTCTCTCTCCAGTCGAACAGGTCGTTGATAGGCTCGATCAGTTTGTACGTTTCATCGTTTTCGTATATAAACTTTTTCCTCTGGTCTTGAGGAAGCAGCGGTACAGCTATGTAGCTAAACAGCCTTTTGGCCAGCACCCTAGCACACGATGCACCTCCATGGCCGTCATATACTCCGAACATCATGCCTAACAAATAATTACATTTTATTCACCAATAACATGTTACATAAAAAATATTCTGAAGGGTATGATATATTTTAAAATAAATATTGATAAAAATAGTAAATGAAGTAACTACCACATATTGACCATAGGGGGGAGGTAAATTTTGATTCTTATAGCTCAGGTGCGCTTAATGACCAACTACCCGGAAGGAAATTGGTGTTTATAATTGAACAACGATAGAAACTGCGTTGATTCTTGATTTGAGGGCTTGAATTTCGTTTATTTTTGATTCCTGAGAATGGAAATGATGATATGGCCAAAAGGAAGACATAAATTGGCACAATTTCAAACTCTAGTTGCCAGATGTGCTAACAATCATTTGCAAGTGTTCTTCCGGAATTCTTCTACCGTGTGGAATATAATGAAGGTTGGAAAAGCCACTGGGTCATTGCAGAATATTTTTGGCCTGAATGAGTTGAGTGTTGGTGAATGTAATTTTTGTTTGGAAATTTCGTCTCTTCTTAGAATTTGTACCTAGTTAATTGTTATAATTACTCACAGTTTTTGTGTAGACATTTTGCTTCTGCCCTCGTGTCCTCCAGTGGATCATTGGCCGCCAGTTGGTTCGTGACATATCCTTTGACCGCTGAAGGCTCCTGGACGGTGTAGTTGTACTCGTGCGAACTCAGGAACGACGAAACCTTCGAAAAATGATCGCTATGAATTGAAACATTCGTCCGTTTTATTCGTGTGGTACCGACGTAGGCATTGGGCAAGGCTAAGTTGTGTGTAAATATCTGTGTTTTTTGATGCAATGATATTTTGTGAAAGACAGTGAATAAGCTCACTGGTTTGTTGTGACTCATTGAATTGTGTGATTGTTTGTTCTAAACCTAGTTTATTTAATAAAAAACATGTGAAAATTTTTACCTCCGGATGCGAGAGCTTCGCTACATTGAAACTACCGATGGGATCCTTAGCACGGCGTGTAAACAATCGCGTACACTCCCACAAGATTTTTCCCATAAAATTTTTCTTAAACACGTTATACTGTTAATATTTATATATTTTTCCTTCAACCTTCTCGTTAGTTTTGCTGAATGTGTTTTGGTATACTCTTTTATATACTTGTAATCTTTTTTGTTTGTCTGTTGAACAAAAAGACGTCTTAAAATTAAAAGAATTGTCCACAATGAAATTTGCTCTAATAAAACTTATTTTTCTGGAGATATGTATTTTTCGTTACTCAGCTGTTGAATTTGGGAAGGTTTCTGCCATCATGTGAACAATGAAAATAAATTCTAAGAATTCCCTCTCTCCTTTATACTTAACTTTCAATACTCTTTTATTGATACCAAATTAAAAAAAAATCCTACTTGATAAATCCTACAGATTATTTAAACTTTCTGACAAATAAAAGTAACCTTTCAATTTCTACAAATAGAAAATTCTACTATCCCACAATATCATTCCAAACTTTCTACGTGGCTAGGCTTATCCTGAAGTTGATTCCTTGATATTGTAAAAATAGGCGGAATTTCAACGAAGGGATTACAAGATATATGGGTGTGGAAATTGCTTGCAGACTTTCTACCATAGAATTGACCATATGAAATTAAACAGCTGTCGTAAATTCACAGAATAAAGCAAAGTTTATTTAATTAAAGAAAATATCTGATTTTTATTTTATGAACCAGCTTTTTTCAATATTTTAAAGTTTTTCTACAAAAAAAATAAAATTAAAAAAAGTTATTGTTTCCCCTTTGCGTTGAATTTCTTGCCTACACAACAAAACATCAGTACTGACAAATAATGTACATATCTTCAATGTGAGTGTAAAATGTAATTAAATATACTAACTTACACGTAATAAATAATATCCACGATAAACATCTAGAAGTACATGTATACCGACGTATTTTTGTTTCATTAAAAAACATTTTTTTACTATTACTACAAAGACAATTTCGCGAACAAAGCCCTGAAATCCTCTTGCGTTGACTTACTACAACGCCTTTTCCGTAATAAATTACTCGATTCTTATTGAATTGACATCCTATCCCACGAAAACACTACCAGTAATAAACTCCTAACTTTTTCTTAAATTTATTTACTACAATACAAAAGACATTGCCGTAAAACGATTGCTTTCTTCTTGAAGTGACTTGCTATTTTACAAAAACACGGCCAACAACAAAGTCCAACTTCCAGAATTGACTACTTTCATACAAAGATACTGTCAGTAATAAAATTCTAATTTTTTCTTGAATTCACTTACTGACTAGGCAACGCAACCAACAAAGACAAAAAATGTCCATCAAGGGAAAACTTCATCTTGATTTTTATTTCTAAAACACAACACTACTACCAAGAAATTACTAACTTTGTCTTGAATTGACTTTGTATTGTACAAAAACACTGCTGCCAACAAAGCCAATCCTCTTGAATTGACTTGATATTGTACAAAGACATTGCCCTTTTGTACACCAATAAAGTTTCCCCTTTTAGATTGAATTTCTATGATACAAAGACATTGCCACCAACAAACTCCTTCCCCTTGAATTGATTTACTATCACCAACAAAGTCCCACCTTTTGAATTAATCAATTTACGTTTTACTGTTCAATTGACCAAGTTACTTCGTTCATTTAATTATTCTTTCTATGTAAGCTCCTGGTTGAGATAAAAAGTCAGTGCCACGAGCGGGATTCGAACCCACGACCTTCGGCTAAATACGCCGCCACTCTACCACTTGAGCTATCGTGAATTCTATCCTCTCGGACACCAACTCACCATCTCAACCCACAACCTTTCGAAGTTTCCCTCTTTTTTTGCTACATTTTCAAAAATCGTGAAATTAGAATTTGATTCCCAGCGACTTATGAAGTGGCTGCGGGGAGCTGTTAACAAAGAAATTATTTCTGTCATTATTACATCAATCCTTATATGTTAAGCAGTCATAATTGACCAGTGTAATTATTTAAATTAAATTTTTTATCTAAGGTCTCGGTTGAGATGAAAAAGTTAGTGTCACGAGCGGCATTCGAACCTATGACCTTCGGCTCATGCTGCTTTAACCATTTGAGCTGTCATGACATCGATCCATTCGGACACAAATTTTCCATCTCAACCTACAACCGTTCGAATTTTCCCTCATTTTGCCATTTTCAAATGTCGTGTAATCAGGATTGGATTTTCAGCGATTTATGAAGTGGCCATGGGGAGCTGTTTAATAAAGGGATACTTCTTTTATTTATTAAATATTAATCCAGTTTCGTTTTAGTGGTCAATTGACTAAGTTACTTCTTTCAATTAATTATTCTTTCTGTATAAGGTCTTGGTTGAGATAAAATTTTGAATTAAATTACTATGATGCACAGACATTGCCATCAATAAAGTTTGTCCTCTTGAATTGACTAACTGTTAAACAAAGACACTACGACCAACAGCTTGACTTTTCACCATCAATATTCTCCTTCTTGAATTGACTATTATACAATGAAACTTCCACCAAGCAAGGACCAACTTTTTCATTTGACTTACCATCATTCAAAAACACTGTATCTGACAAAATTTTTGAATTAACTATTATACAAAGACACTGTCATCCAAAATGTCCTTCCTCTCCATTGACTTATTACTATACAAAGACACTACCACCAACAATCTTGACTTTTCACCATCAATATTCTCCTTCTTGAATTGACTAACTATTATATAATAAAACTTCCACCAAGCAAGGACCAATTTTTTGATTTGACTTACTATCATTCAAAAACATTGTTTCTGACAAATTTTTGAATTAACTATTATACAAAGACACTGTCATCCAAAATGTCCTTCCTCTCCATTGACTTATTACTATACAAAGACACTACCACAACAATCTTGACTTTTCACCATCAATATTCTCCTTCTTGAATTGACTAACTATTATATAATAAAACTTCCACCAAGCAAGGACCAACTTTTTCATTTGACTTACCATCATTCAAAAACACTGTATCTGACAAAATTTTTGAATTAACTATTATACAAAGACACTGTCATCCAAAATGTCCTTCTTTTCGATTGACTTATTACGATACAAAGATACTGCCACCAGCAGTCTTCGTTTTTTACTATAAAAACAGACATCATGACCAACTACAACACAGAACTGGCTAGACTTCGTTGTGTTAAGAAAACGAGCAAATGTGTCTTTTCAAAAGTTTACCTTTTTTTGAAAACTTGTAGTGTTTTTCCAGCGCCTTACACACACGAATATTTGCATTTTACTTGACAACATCATAACTATTTTTCTCGGTTTTTCTTATTCTCGTCCGAATTATTAATACAAATCTTCAAATACCTATCTATCTGGGCGTTTTTCCTAAAGGAAAAGATGTAGAGTTAGGCAGTGCAAAGAACTGCCGATTCTCTCTTTATAAATCGTCTGAAAGAAGAGGAGAGTACTATTTGAGGTAATAACATAGCCATGAAGGAGGTGTATACGTGAAGTAATAAATAATGCATAAGGGTTGGAAGAGTATTAGGAAAGTCCTGGTAGACTGTCCACCACTCTATACATACCAATAGGTACAATACTTTAACCCTCACGTTTTTTACACATTTCTTCTGAGACTATCCCACCTCTAGTCTTATTTTTTATATTTTATTATAATATTTTTGCATATTTATGAGGCGCTTTTATTTATTAACGTTGGTAATTGGTGTAATAAATTGATTTCTTTTTTTTTTACTAATTTTCATATCTAAATCGTTGGCTTTAGGCAAGGAAGCGCACGCCATTCTCCGAGATAGCTGGAAGCCCTTAGTTTAATCTTTTTATTATCTTGTAGCCTTTAATGTCAGCGAAAAAGAAATACCCCTTTCCAGATAGGGATGCACGCTCTGTTTACCCCCTTCCGTTCCTAAAATGTACAAAAGAAATCCACTATGGATAAAGCACAAAGAAGCTCTTTTCCAACACGTTAATGTTAATTTGATTGCAAAAAATGAACTTTTATCAGTGCGATTTGTGCAATTCCAAAAACATGTATTAATCAAGATTCCAATATGAAACAAATATGACGTAAATTAAATTTAAAATAAGATTACTTTCGGTAGAATCGAGCTTTTATCTCGCGAATTAATATTTTCGTTCTATTTTCATTGCGAGCTTTGTAAACACAGTCTCGTTTTATGTTGTTTTATATTAAGTTTATGTCTCGATTGTCCTTTCAATCCTATTTCCCAGTTGTGTAGAAACTTTCACCTGTGTTATGAACAGTTCAGGACTTACGGTTCATCTGTTTTCAAATGTACATGTTTTGTTTTTCTATTGAAGGATTTATTTTTGTATTGCTCAGTTTAAATATGTTTTTAGTTTTCAAAATGTTTTAAATGTTTTTACCTGGTAAAGAATTAAATCTACAAAACTAGAATTGTCTGGTGTACTAAATACAATAAAAAAGGCCATTGTATTGATTTTTTCAATTGATATACTCAAATGTTTTGCATGTGTGCAATGGTGTGTTATGTGTGGTGTGGCATGTGTGCAACAATTATCTATTATTACAAAGACATCGCCACCATAGAGCCCCGAGCTTTTGTTGCATTTGTCTGTCACTGAATTGGCTATTGGCTGAAATTGAAAATTTTCGGAAAATTACTATATAGCTCCATCAAATACCTAACTGCTTATCAACTATAGAACTCAGAAACGAATTGTAAGAAACACTTAGACTTTTTAATTATTACAAAAAAAAAATCTTTCTCCGACACAATATTTAACAATATTTCTGAATATTCACTACCAATTAATTGACTTTTACAACAAAGAATGTACAATTGAATTGACTGTTACTACAAACTAAGATAAGTTCTGAATTAATAGTACTGTGTGGTGATTAGTGACCGTTAATCGATAATTATTCAGAAATCGTGAGATGCGGTCTAGTGTGATGTAAGTTTTTAGAAAAACATTTTCTTTATCGTGCTAATGTTTCGATCTTTATTGAGATCATTTTCAGGGCTCAATGTGTTTGTCTTTAGTGTAATTGTGCCATTCTTGCGTGTCGTGTTGAGAGTGCCCAATTACACAGAAGACAAACACTTTGAGCCCTGAAGATGATCTCAATAAAGACCGAAACATTGGCACGATAAAGAAAATGTTTTTCTAAAAACTAAAATCATAACTACGACTGAATTGACTATTACTAAAAACAGATAAGTTCGGAATTATTACTATTATTCTATCATCTAATAATATGTTCATTACCAATTCGTTAACTATTACAACATAGATATATTGTATATGAATTGATTATTACTACTAACAAATATATAATTCCAATGAATTGACTTTCTTTTTTTTTACGAGGGTTCTCAACAGCAGAGGTTATATCAACCCTCGGGGTGCCGGTGTTTTTGAAAAAAAAAAAGACCATTTGTATGTCGGGTTCGAATGCAGGGCCGCTGGATTCGAACCCGGGAACTTCACCTTACAGTGATGAGCGCCGTGTCAACGCCTAAACCGTTGCGGCCACCGACGCGCCCCTTGTATTGACTATTACTAGTAACAAACATCAATGTTCAAAATTTATACTACGAATTAATTTATTATTATAACCAAGACATAATTACAAACATAATTACAAAGGAATTGACTATTATTACAAACAAAGATCTAACTAGGTTCAGAACTTTCGCTACCAAATTATTATATGAAAATTATAGCAAAGACAAATACAACTGAATTGACGCATTAAAAAAAAGCAGGTGTAATTAAGTTCAAACTATTACAACAAGGAAAATATCATAATTGAATTCACTCACACGCTGTAACAAGTTGGAAATTTTCACTACCGATTAATTACCTATTGCAACAAAGAACGACTGATTTGAGTATCACTAAATAAACATTAATTTCTTAATTTTTACTATCGAATAATTGACTATTACTATAAACAAAGTGTTAACTTGGTCACGATCTTATTAATTTAGGAATTTTCACTACCACTTAACTAACTATTACAACTGAAATGACTATTAATAAAAACAAGATTTTATTTAGGTTGGGACTATTGCAACAAGATACTGTCACAACTGAATTAACTATTACTACGAAAAACATGAACAAGGGTCGGAGTATTACAACAACATAATTATACAACGACATTATTTTAAAATAAATAATTAAAACAAAAACATAAACAACAGAAATGACTATTACTACAAATAATTATTCAGAAATCGAGAGATGCGGTCACGATTTCTGAATAATTATCGATTAACGGTCACTAATAACCACACATTACTACAAATAAATGAATTTTGTACCATTTAATTTACTATTACAACAAAGGGAATACAATTAAATTGACTATTACTACAAGCAAAGACCTAATTAGGTTAGGCATTTTCACTAGCAATTAATAGACTATTACAATTGTTACGTAATGGCATATAAATTGCAACAAAGACATAACTACAATTGAATTGACTATTGCTAGAAATAACTAGGTTCGGATTGCTACAACAATAACATAATAACATAACAATTGATTAAAATAAAAGTTATAAAAAACTACATTGATTATTACTACAAATAAAAATCTGACTAAGTTCGGACTATTACAACAATGTGATAATTACATAGATTTTTCTATTATGACCAACAAGTATAGAACGACAACTAAATTTAATTTTATCGAAACGAAAGTACTGTAAAAAAACTGACGGACCTCAATTATCAAGGATGATCAGCTTGCCCAATATGCGTCCATTTGATGTTGATCCTGAAATCAACGTACAATTTTATGTTTTTGAAACGTCATTTTTACCTGTTACTCTTGTCCTCAACAAATTAATTCATATATGTGTTTATTTCTCCGATGAGAAAACGGAAAGCAAACTCAGAGGTTGATGAACACACTGGAAATGTTTGAACTGCGCTCATATTGAACAGTCTGCTTTCCCTCTGTTCACATCGAATAGTTCAAAATGTATGAAAACGGGCTCTGAAATAAATTCCCTGGGTTTGGGTCGGTTTTATTAATTTTTTTTATCTCCCAGGGTTCATTTTGTACCCGTTTAATTCCAATTTAGAACTGTTAAGAGAAACATTGTTAATTAATCAACCGTTTAATTTCCGACAGAGAGGCGGCCAAGTTGCAGCTCGTTGTTCTACCACGTTTTGGAAGTAGTAAAAGGTAAAACAAATTGTGGGAGTGCCGTTTACTCACTTTTCCATATATCCTGTAAAGCACACAAAAAACATGGTGTCGGTTTTACAATTTATTAGATAAATTGCTCTCACGAGTTTTTGTTTTGTTTTTTGGTTTCTTTGTTAATAACATCGGTTAAACATTCACATCAAGCTTTCAGTTTTTATTTTATAGTAATATATAGATGTTTTTGTTTAAAAATTAAAAAGTATATGATTAACATCCGCTTCGAGTGAAAGACTAATAAACAGCGTATTTTTTTATCTGTACAAAATAATACTTTGTAAATTTAACGAACATGTATTTTTTATTACTACTGGGAGGTGAAAACGTTAAATTTTTAAAATTGGTTAGGTGAATAGGGTTAATAAATGCATGCTGGTTTAATTAGGTAGCTGATGTACTGGTGGTGCGAAAATACTGGTCAGACTTAGTCCTTTCAACATACATGAAAGAGAAATGCATGAAAAATCTCTCAATGGGGGGAGGGAGATTTTAAATTTAAATTTATGCTCAGTATTTACAAGATTAACTTTGTTCAAACATTCCAAGGTTTTTAGATTTGTTTTTTAAGTTTTTCCTTCGAACCGACTTCGACAAACAGATAGAGATCGATAACAAACACAATGGACGCTCATTGGAATACTGTCGGGGATTTAAGTTCGGAATTTTTTTACCCTGGTTCTGGGTTATTTCCAGCGGGTCTGTTCAGACTCGGATGCCCCTTTTTATCCAAAAATAAGCACCTGGTTTACTTAAAAACCAGCCACGAATTCTTAACATAGCCAAAAAGTAAAGCTTTGATTATTTTCGGCTGATTGCTCAGTGTGCCAAACAGAAGAAATTAGCATTTTTGTAAATTCTGCTTGCTTAAAAAAAATTGTTAGTTGTTTATTTCTGGTTGTTTATTATTAATTGCAGGAATGAATTTGAATGTTAAAATTTTAAAATTTACAATTAAACAAAAAATGTAGTTTATGCGTTTCTGATCAATTTGGTCTGCCTACGCTTGCTGGTTGCTAGATTTGTAATTTTACCATTTTCATTAATGGGATTCTTGTAATAGACAATTCCAAAGTAGTAATAATTATTACTAAAGAGTTCTGTTGTAAAAGGCCATGTCGGAAGCATTTAAGTCTTTGTCGTAATAATTTGTTCTGACATTATTATATCTGTTGTAATAGTCAATTCTGAATTCGTAATAATCACTTTTAAAATTGTTTTAGTTGTTGGGATAGTCCATTCTGAAGTAGTTAGGTCATTGTCGTAATAATCTGTTCTAAATTAAATATTTCATTTTATAGTCAATTCTGAGATTACTGTATTAGTTGTAATAGTCAATTCTGAAGTCGTAATAATCACTGCTAAAAGTGATGTATTTTTTTTTATAATAGTTAATTTTGAATTCGTAGTAATCACTGCTAAATGTGATGTATTTGTTGTAATAGTTAATTGTGAATTCGTGATAATCACTTTTAAAATTGTTTTTGTTGTTGGGATAGTACATACTGAATTAGTTCGGCAATTGTCGTAATTATCTGTTCTGAATTAAATATTTGATTTTATATGTCAATTCTGAAGTTATTGTATTACTTGTAATAGTCAATTCTGAAGTCGTAATAATCACTGCTAAAAGTGATTTATTTGTTCTGATAATTCTGATGTGACGCAATAATCAGTTTTGATATTATTTTTTTTTGTAATAGATAATTCTTAAGTAGTAATAATCAATTCTAAAGTTGATTTCTTTGTTGTAATAGTCCATTTAATTGTAATTTTTGCCATTTCATAACACAACTCTGGTGGTTTTTAATAGATCTGAAATGACTATTGTCACAACAATAACGAAGAAATAAGTTCTAAACAATTGCCTATAGATAAATTTAATCATTTTAAATTTGATTATTATGCAGATGACGCAATTAATTGAGAAATGACTATTGAGACAAACATTTCGAAGAACTATAAAATTGACTTGGTAGTCCAAAGCACGTTCATGGTTGATTTTTCGTACATAAACACAACCGCTTCGAAAATATCTCTTGAAGATAAATAACTACATATTCCATAGTTCAATTGATGGATAATTCACTGGGTTTCTCAAGCGAGCTTTGGCTTCACGACATATTTAGAAATTCCATTACAACAGAATAACTAACTACTATGGAATTGACTATTGCAACAAAAGCATCAACTTCCTAACAGATTATTATGAAAAAGACATAATTACTTCAGAATTGACTATTAGAACTAAAAGCCGACTAGTGATAGAATAATAACTGAAAAAATAGCGGTGATAGGTGGGCCAAAATGATCGATGGATCTACAGGCTCATTACGTGAAAGACTCCAAGAAAAAATCTCACAATAAGAAAATAAATTCACGTGCATTAGGTACACATAAAATCGCCAATTTTCAGTTTCAATAGTTAGAACACACAAACAAATGTGCAATTTAAACTTTAGACTTATTCATAATTTTTATGTTGAGTGATGGTTTAAAAAAAGCCTTCTCTTTGCACATTTGTACTAGCATGGTCATTCTTTGCAACTATTTCGATGGTGGTAGTACACTCGAAACAAAAAATTTCCGCCTTGCATGTAAGCTCAGTTCTTTTGTATTTATATATAGAACCACGTTATCATTTTTCTCATTATAAAAATTAAAATTACACGCACAATTGTCTGCACAGTGTTCTGTTTGAATTTCGGGCTCTCTTCTCTACTGGTATTCGGCATTTTATATAATTTTTTTTCATTTTTTCCTTCAATTAATTAATTATGTTTTTCCACATCCATGCTAACGTCGAACGATGATATTCTAGCTGATAGCCTACCAGTCGACGATAGAACTTTGATCGACATTCAACAGAAAAGAGCTTACAGACACGGGCTGAATCTCTACGGTGAAATGAGCAACAGAGGTACAATACAAAAGACTATTATTCAATTAATACACATATGCACGTTTAAAACGGGGAGGAGAATCTGTAGATGGAAAGAAACTAGATTATATACATAAACATGTCACAAAAAAACACGTGATTCAATGATTCAGTTAAATTACATTTTTTTATATACGTAATAATTTAAATTTTTTTCCTTCATCGATATTTTGTATATTATCGATACTTTTATTCAAAGTATGTATATAACCTTTCATTAGGTTCCATAGGAAGTACCAAAAAGTATATCCTCTTACGAATGTGTCTTAACTAATATCGTTGATAAAAAGGCATCAGAATATCGATATTTTCGATATAAGAATTAAAAAATATAATATCGATAAAGTTCCAGTATAGTGCAAATTCTCTTTTCTAATTATGAGAGAAACATCTATGAAAAAAATAGACCAAAATAACTTGTACTCTAATAAATAATCGAAATTTTCGATGTATTGTTTGTAGGTAGATCGATNAAAAGCTAGGGTCAGTTCTTGAGTCAGCTCAAGTGGTTAGAGCAGCGGCGTGGGTTCGAATCCCGCTCGTGATCCTAGTTCTTACATCTCAAACAAGACATTAGATGAAAAGTACAATTAATTAAAATAATGAATACGTTCGATTATTCTAAATACATATATGGATTATATATTATATTCACAATGTTTACAGACGGGAAAACACACATACACACACACAATATATATATATATATAAAAATTTCTTCGAGGGGACGCCGAGTTGATAGGAAGATGTGTATATATAGTAGGTAGTCGATATAATTTCAATGCCAATCAATAATTAGAAAATATCGATATTCTCTTTCGATATTAGTATCGATATGAGTAAGCCTAATCGACAAACCCAACCGCTGAAGCTTTGATCTAGCATTGAATCCCAAAATATCGATTAATTGTGATTAGTAATTAATTAATTTATTATTGATATTAGGGAGCCGATATGCAAAAATATCGATTGCTTCAGAATCTAACTTGAAATAATATACGAATGATTCAGCAATTATATAGCTCAGTATTGAAATATTGGATATAAATAATTATCGATCGATCTAAAGGAACTATCGATATTTCGATAACATCGATTATTCAAAGCATGTATATAACATGTCATAGGTTCTAGAGGAAGTACCAAAAAGTATATACTCTTACGAATGTGTCTGACTTAACTAATATCAGAGATAAAAAGTCATCAGAATATCTATATTTTTGATACAAGAACTAAAAAATATAATATCGATAAAGTTGTAGTATTGTACAAATCCTCTTTTCTAATTATTAGAAAAACATCTATGAAAAAAAGATACCAAAATAACTTGTATTCTAATAAACAATCAAAAATTGGGATTATTGTTTGTAGGTAGATATATATATATATATCGTAGGTAGTCGATATAATTACAGTGCCAATCAATAATTAGAAATATCGATTTTCTCTTTCGATATTAGAATCGATATGAGGAAGCCTAATCGACAAATCCAACCGCAGAAGCTTTTCTCAAGCAGTGAATCCCAAAATATCGAATAATTCTGATCATATTATCGATATTAGAAAGCCGATATGCATAATGATATAGTGTCGATATTCTATTGATTGCTTCTGAATCTAACTTGAAATAATCTACAAATGATTCAGCAATTATTGAGGTCGTCGGTATTAAAATATAGAATATAGATAATTATCGATAGATCGAAATGAAATATTGATATTTTGATAGCGTCGATTATTGATTCATATTAATACGATATTTTCTATGCCCCGAATCTAAACTATTACGTTATCGATGTTTATTTCGATAATGCACTGAAAGGCAAAAAAGTGGTCACCCTTAATCTTTTTAATTGTCTCTGAGACAATCGTCCTTTGATTATTTTATAACGATACTTGCTCGTTTTAAAGGATTAGATATACATAAAACACATAAAATCTCCTACTTGTGTTTACAGTCGGATTTTGTAAGTAAATCATTGAATAGTTAATCTCTTCTTTGTTGGTTTTTCTGTAAAGCTTCTTTCTACGTTCCGGTGATTTTTTTTTTAACTTGTAACATTTTTAAGTTTCAAATTTGTTTGAGAGATGGTTTGCAGTGAATTCGGCTAGTACAAAGCATTGCTGGAAGATTGAAGAAGTCAAGCGTATTTGGCCAGGGTGCTTTAACATTCCCAGAACTGTCCGAAGGATCTTCCATAGCTACCGAGATACTGGAGGTTACTCATGAAGGCATGGATCATGTCGCTATCGTGTCACATTTCAGAGAGATCATTATATTGGAATATACTCCGTAATCTTACCGCTGTTCAGATCAAGCAACACCCTCAATCAAAATTATGTTGTAAAGGCTATAATTTAGAAGCTGGATTAAATGCGAGAAGGCCTGCACTGGTACAGGTGTTATGGTTATGGTTTATTTACATTACATTAGAAGGTTGCAAGGTTACCTAACAGCTGCGCGATGTGTTATCCTGCTGCACACAATGCAAGGCCCCACACAGAAAGGATCGTTGGAGACTACTTGGAACGGGCTTCAATTCACAATTAGGAGTAGCCAGCATGTAGTCCCGGCCTATCGATCACTAATTGACAAAGATGGTACCAAGTCGCCCACTGATTCCGGAGAATTTACAGATATTCAGAATGTCTCTGTTGGAGGATTATGAAATATTCCACAGCGCTACATTCAAGACCTCATAAAATCGATGCCACGTCGAATGCAGGTGGTGATAAACGAAAGAGGAGGAAATACTCCATACTGAATTGTATATTTTCTTCATTCACATACAACATTTTTGGTAAAATTGTTTTACTCAGTTTAATATTTTATTTAACTATATCTTATATTTTTCTTTAAAAATATCCAGTAAACCACAAAAAATAAAATTTATAAGGGTTGCAAGTATTTAATTAAGTATTTACACCAAGGGTAGTCACTTTTTACCTCTCAGTATAATATTCATAAGGGTAGTATCGAAATAAACGATATACATATAAATGTGGATGGTATATTAAAAAGGAAATATCAATATTGGTGCCTGTGGATCGAATGTTGAAATATAAATATCGATATTTTTCGTACATTGATTAGTCAAAATTATGTATGCACCTAGGCGCCACTGAACGCGTTGATGTCGGCCGTCCAAATCGATCCGTCTCCATAGCGCTAAAAAGTAATAATTAGCGTATAAATTACATCAGTGATGAAGGCTATTTTCTAGGTGGTTACACTTAAGATCTGTATCTATCAATACAGATAAAGACCTACCCGGTTCAGATCGATACAGATCGGTCAGTACCGGGTGAAGGCGGACAGAATCGATAAATGAATACGATTTCCTTGAAAAAATTTCTCTGAATATAGGAGAATCTGTTTGTATTTAAAAGATTTTTGCTTAAATTAAATAACCCTTTTTTTTCTTTGTTTTGACAAGTTAATTGTTCAAAAGCAATATGTTACAAATTACCGGGTTTCCTTCTGGTTGCTCATGTTTCGATGTGAATGGACGTGTGGAAACAACTTCTTTTTATAATAGACGTACATAAAACGAAGATTAAATATAAAAATAAACTAATAGGCAAATTGTTTATCTGCAAAGTTGGCAAAGTGAGATGAACTTTATGGATTGTAGTAAATTAAAAATGACTATTACGACAAGCGCGACCTATGGAAATGTGCCAAAGTATTGACTATTACAATAAATATTTTGACTGCTGATTTCGTTATTTCGACAAAAATATAACTAGTTAAGAAATGGGGAGAATTCTTAATTCCTCTTTTGTGATCATTATTAATGTAATGATTTGTTTGGGCTGGCTTTGCAAGTACGAATCCATTTCTGAAGCACATTAGAATACGTACCGCTCTGACCTGATAGGAAGACCAAAATGATCGGAAATTCCTGATCTCAAAAAAAATATTACGCCAAACACGCAACTTACGAAGGAACGTGTGTGTGTGTGTGGGGGGGGGGGTGATTAGTGACCGTTTGTTGATGATCGGAAGTCGAAATAGAAAGACATTTTTGTACAAGGAGTCGGCTTCTTTGAGGTGAAAAGTGAAGAAATGAAATTGTTCAATTTAAACAATGTTTGTAAATCCGATGGGCTGAAGATGATCTGAATAAAGATCGAAACGTTGCCACGATAAAGAAAATGTTTTCCTGAAACTACATCACACCGGACCTCATCTCACGATTTCATAATAATCGACGAAGGAACATTTACTATTGACTATTACAGTAAATGCATTGGTTATTACAAATCACTAGCTGTATTTCTAGACTATTACAACAAATATATCAATTTCAGACTTCATTCTTAGGCAATAAACTTTACTTATCTAGAAGGTAGACAAAGACTGTAAAGAAATAGAAAGTAGAATTTACTATCACAAAAAATAAAACTACTTTACAATTTATTATTACGACAAAGGCATAACTACATCAGAAATGTATATTGAGACACAAACAGCGAGGGTATATCTACTAAGTTAAAAAAAATAAATAAATAAAATATATAAAAAATAAAAATAAATAAATTTTTAAAACGTGAGGTGGAAGAAATGCGAGGTGCCGGCAATAGCCCAGGCAGCTAGCCGGCCGAAAAAAAAAAACAGAATTGACCATTACGACAAGGACAACGAGGAATTAACTATAGTTCAGCACAGCAATACAACTTCAGATTTGATTATTAGGCCATAGACAAGACATTCAGAAATTATTACAAAGACGATGAAGAAATGCGCATTGTATTGACTATTACAACAACACCAGAATTGATTATTACAACAAAGACACAGATGCATCTGCAGATGCATACCTCAGATTTTTCTTTATTAGGCCATGAATATAATGTTTTCACAAATTACGATTATGACAAAGAAGAAATCACTGTTGTATAATGAATGAGTATTTCATCATGGACATCTTTTGAAATGACTATTAGTCAAAAAAAGTCAAAAAAAGAATCTACTATGGAGAAATAACTTCTTTAGAGTTGAGTATCCATCACTGAATATGGCCAATTGTCAACCAATACAGCAAAGATATGCCTTCAAGCCAGTAATAGATTAATTTAAACGTCACCTCTTAAATTTGGCCAATTGTCAGGTATAAATGTTGTAATAATTTCAGTATATGAGACGTTAAATATATAATTAGGCGTGAAAATGGATTGTTTTTTAACCGTTGCAAGTGTGTTTGATTTTCATCTTTCGTGCCTTTTTACAACGGTAATTTCAGATTTTAAAAATACGTACATGATTAGAAATTCCGGCCTGTTGCGCCAGGATAAAGTTTATTTATCACAGGTAAATTGACGGAGTGTTATAGCAGGAAGAAATGACATGAATGAGGTTATGAGACTCAACTCAATTACGTTTAGAATGGGTAAATATGGGAAAATATGTTTACTCATATATCAATACATATATCAATACATATATCAATATATATATATATATATCATCAACATATATATATCGAATATGACTCAGGAATCTTAAATAACAATAATTTTAAACTGGTCAATTTTCTAATCAAATCGATGAAAAAAAGGCCTCCTTCTGTTCAGAATTGTAAAAAACTTACAAGACGTGGTTTCAATTAATTCAATGTTGTTCATAATAAGAATAAAAGAAACAAAGTATATTTTGTGCGTATTTTTCAGGAAAATAAATATCTCATGGTGTTCTAAGGCTACTTTTGCTTACTTTGTTTATTCTAGTCTTCTTATTTTTTCTCTTGTTTATTTTAAAGAGGTCGAATTCATTTCTCGCATATTTGGTTCGAATGTATCTGTCTTACATGTTGTTTTTTGTTCGAGGTTTCTTTTTGAGTGTATTTGGATAATAATTATCTCAATTTTTTTATTAACTTTTTAAAAAAAATGTATTTAAAAATGCGTTTTTTTCTTTTTTTTTTAACTAATTAGGGATATATTTTTTATGTGACTGATTAAAGCGTTGACAGTGTTTTATTGCGATTCTAACGAATTGTAACGAAAGCCGGATTAGAAAAACTGGCACGGAGGTCTTGCTCTGGATGTTTAACAGTGGGAAAACATGCACGCACAAAGGGGGTATGTAAATAAATAATGATCCTTTGCCTCAGGCCCGTTTAATTCTGGGAAGGGATGAAAATGCATTGTAGCTATTTGATTAACGCGGTCTCCTTTCAAAATTGACTATCGATCGGAGAAATGGCCTGATGAAAAACAATTTCACAAATTGCCCTTTCGCCCCTGTTTCACGCCAGCGTTGAACTGTGAAACATCCCTTTTATTATCGGCCGTTTGATCGTCTTGGTACGCGGAATCACGCTGATGTTACTGTCAAGCGTGTTTCGATGTTTGATCAAAGTCTGGAAGTGTTTGATTTATCGGATGCACGGGATTACAGTATTTTGATGAAAGATCAGGAAAATCTATAAAATTTATAATTCGTACTGATCAAATGGAGAAAAAGTCCACCCCAATGACCTAAAGATTATTAATTGACTATTACAACAAAGACAAAACTACTACTCAACATACTGCCACAAAGACCACAACCCCCAACTATATCGACTATTGCGGATACATAAAAAATAACGGAATTGACCGTCCAAACGACCCTAATTCACAATAAATTACTATATTCCCAGTGAATAGTAAAAAAAAAAATACAAAGAATTCTCTAAAATTTTAATAAAAAATCAAGTATTTGACTTCCGAATTAAATGTTGCTTCTCATAAATTGCCACCAATAACAATCGAATTTTCGTAATAGTAATAATCAATCTGCCACAAGAAACGGAAAGTTTCTCAATTTACTTTATTACTACCCAGACTTATAATAATAAAGCCTCAATAGTAGTAATACTATAAGAAATGTCACATTATTGACCATCACTTCAGACACCAGTCGAACATCCCTCAACCGTTTAGTACTACAAAGAAACAATTTTACAGTAAAATGTAGTTAACTCTCGATTGAGTAAGACTACAAAGAAACAGTTAACAAGTACAAATTAACGCTAAAACGATAATTTTTACAGACACCATCACTCACTAAGACCAGGCACATTTGATTTATCTATTACTACAAAGAAACAGCCACTATTTGATCAGAAATCGCTAAATTTGTTATTTTTGTTTAATATTCTCGTAATTTTTTCTTCCGTTCTGCCTTATTGGTATACATTGTGCCAAGATTTCTATCTTCTTTTTTACTTTTAACTTCATAGAAGGAATTTCCTTTATTTATTTCATGTAAATTATTCTTAGGGGCACCAGTCCCAGAATAAAGTTATTTTTCTTCTTCTTAAATTGAATACTACTTGAAAAGCACCAGAACCACCTTACAGTATTTCTATTACATAAAGAACCAACCAAATTGTCTAGACATTAGTCAGTTGACTATTACCACAAAGACACCACCGACTATAAAGAACGGCAATTTTTGATTTCTCTTATTACATTGACCTGCAACTTTTGGTTTTTCTATTGTTGTTGGTGATTCTATTGTTTTTTATTGGTGTGTCAGTTACTATTACTTCAAAAACTAACCATCTCCAACAAAAAGCTGAACCTTTTGGTTTTGTTCTTTCTGTTTATAACTAATCTGCCTCCTCTAAATTGAATATTACTAGAAAGAAAGAGCCCCCAATTGACCAGCCATCACTAAATTGACTATTACTCCAAAGAGAACACTACCCATAAAGATGGGACACTTTTGGTGTTTCTATTTCTACAAAAAAACAGACACCCAACTGACCAGCCTATCACTAAATTAACTATTATTCGAAAGACATCACTACCCTTAATGATCGGGCACTTTTGGTGTTTCTATTTCTACAAAGTAACAGACACCCAACTGACCAGCCATCACTAAATTAACTATTATTCCAAAGACATCAGTACCCATAATGATTGGACACTTTTGGTGTTTCTATTTCTACAAAGAAACAGACACCCAACTGACCAGTCAACACTAAATTAACTATCATTCCAAAGACACCACCACCACCATGAACGTCTAGACGCTTTTGGGGTTTCTATTTCTACAACGAAACCGACAACCAACTGACCAGCCATCACTAAATTAACTATTATTTGAAAGACATCACTACCCTTAATGATCGGGCACTTTTGGTGTTTCTATTTCTACAAATAAATAGACACCCAATTGACCAGCCATCACTGAATTAACTATTCTTCCAAAGACACCACCACCCACAAACACCGGACTCTTTTGGTTTTTCCATTACTGCAAAGAAACGTCTACCTAATTGACGAACCATCATTAAATTGACTGTTACTAGAAAGACCCCACTATCAACAGCTCTGAAATTTTTCGTATGCCTATTAGTATTTATAAATAATCAGCCACCCAATTAACCAGCCACTTCCAAATTGACTATAATTTAAAGTAAACAGCCACCTAATTGATCTGTCTACTAAAAATTGACTGTTACTACAGCAAATACAACAACCAACATAGACCCGCAACTTTTGGTTTGCCTATTTCTATAAAGAAAACTTATACTGGATGGACCCGACACCACTAAATCACTGTTACAATTGCAAATACAACATCCAACGAAGACCTTCAACATTTAGCTTGTCAATTTCTAGAAACACCTTTAACTTTGGGTTTGGTTATTACTACAAAGACTCCAACAAGCAATTAAAAAAGCTCTACGAAATCTCTTTTGACAAACACCTCAGATTGATCGTTATTTCGAAAGCATTTAATAAAAAAATGTAAAGTTTGCTACTGTTTTCTTTGTTCGATTGCACCAATTTTTGTCCTATTGCTCGCTGGTTTCTTCTCAACTGTGTTATTTTTGAATCCGCAGTTAGCAAATTGAGAGAACATTGGGATGAGACGAACAGCAAGGTCATGCAGAGGAAAACGGAGCTGGACGCCATGCTCACCGACAGTCAACGTTACGAGGCGAAAAGGCAGGAAGTCGACACGTGGATCACCAGAATGGAGGCACGTCTCGCGAGGATGGCCAACGTCGGCCACACGGCAGACGTTTTGGAAGCTCAAATGCGAGAACAAAAGGTAATAAATTGTATATATTTTTAACAAAATTACGAGTCAAAAAAGTCCAAGTGTAGTCTCGAAAGCAGGGGGAAATGTCCAAAACTAAAAAATCAATCTATGCTTTTTCAGTCGTTCCATGCCGAATTACACCAGTATAAACACCACATCGATCTTTTTAACCAGCTCACACAAAAACTGATCGCAGTTTATCAGCAAGACGACACGACAAAAGTGAAGAAAACAACGGAAACAATCAACCAACGCTACAACGATTTGAACACGAGGTGATAACTTTACGTCTGTAATTATTTCTGCTGTAATAATTTTGATTGACTTTTTTTCCTTCGTCCCAGATCGTCCGCCATTTCTCGCAGATTAGGTTTATATCGAGAATTGACGTACCAGGATGATCAGGGATGATCGAGCTATTAATCACTGATTGGGGTGTTTTTTAAAAACATTTTCTGGTCTGAAGCATAAAATATTTTAAGCTATTTTTCTGTTTTTTATCTGACAAAATTTGAGAAGGCAGATGAAAAAATAAAATGGAATCTATTATATTAAAATTTTTTTGATTTGCAGTATCATCAATCGCGGAAAAGGGTTGCATTCCGCCATCAACTCACTGCACAACTTCGACCGGTCTTTGGAGAATTTCCTCGCCTGGCTCAGCGAAGTAGAATCGGGCCTGGAAGCGCTGGAAGCAGATGCTGACCGAGAAGCTAAACCGCTGAGAGAATTAAAGGTATGTGACTTGATTCACCGATGACCTGAAAGGAATGACAGCCTAACTTTATCATTATACTTGAACTAGAAAACGTAGCTCGTATTGAATAAGGAAATTAAAAGCCCAAATTAAATGTTGTAAAGAAGAATCGGTTTTTTTTGTTACAATCCTGTTTGGATTTCGCATCTCAGCAATTTCCATGTGTTTAGCTTGTTTATTTCTTTCTTCAAACATTTGTCTTTATCAATCACGTCGCGTGTAACGTTATAAAACGCAGAGGGCAAACACAGCAATTTGCGATGCGGGCGAGGGAGAAAAAAAGGGGGAAAATCAGTCGTGACACTTTTGGTTGATTGACCTCATCCCTTATCGACAAAAAAAAACAAAAAAAAACAAGTGTTTTATAGGGAATTTTGTCCAAAGATTAGCCCTCCTGCTTTAAAGCCTGGAAATATCACGAAGGCTTTGAACCGTAATTATGTTAATCTACCTTTCAGTATTCGTCTATTCGAAACTATGTTATTCGATACTTATTTTCTATTACATCTAAGCCTGTATTTAGTTGCGCTTGTTAAAATACAAAATTATGCCTATTCATTTTATTATTAATAAATGTACAGTTGTTGATGGAGAAATGTGTAGAAATTATACTATTATTCGATCTTCCATGCTGTTTCTGTGAAATGTTACCACCTTTAATCATCCTGGTCTGGCATTAAACCCAATAACATCAATTGGATTAACCATTGTCGTAATAGTCATTGCTTAATTGTTTAATCTATGTGAATTTGTTGTAATAATCAACTACTACAATAAATTCTTCGTTGCCTTTGTCGTAATAGTCATTTGCGATGTAGTTAAGTTTTGACCCAGCACTGAAAATGGCGAGAAGCCAAAACGCGTCTGACAGACCAAAACATCAAGTATAGGTTGATACTAGTACTTGCCCATTTTAGCAAGTTTTCTGTATTAATTGTACTAGACTATTTTATGTTATTTTTTTATTGCTTTTGTCGTAATATTCTTTCTAAGGTCGTTCCGTCTTTGTCGTAATAGTCAATTCTGAAGTTGCTGTATTTGTTACAATAGTCAAATATGGTTGATTTTTCGTTGTCTTTGTCGTAATAGTCATTTACGAAGTAGGTACCTTTTGACTCAGCAGTGAAAATGGCAAGAAGCTGAAACGCGTCTGACAGACCAAAACAACAAGTATATGTTGATACTAGTACTTGTCCATTTTAGCTAGGTTTCTGTATTAATTGTACTAGACTATTTTATGTTTTTTTCCCCATTGCTTTTGTCGTAATATTCTTTCTAAGGTCGTTCCGTCTTTGTCGTAATAGTCAATTCTGAAGTTGCTATATTTGTTACAATAGTCAAATATGGTTGATTTTTCGTTGTCTTTGTCGTAATAGTCATTTACGAAGTTGCTGTATTTGTTACAATAGTCAAATATGGTTGATTTTTCGTTGTCTTTGTCGTAATAGTCATTTACGAGGTAGTTTTGTTTTGACCCAGCACTGAAAATGGCGAGAAGCTGAAACTCGTCTGACAGGCCAAAAACAGCAAGGATAGGTCGATACTACTAATCAATTCTTAAGTTGCTGTATTTGTGGTAATAGTCATGTCGTATATTTATTGTAACGTCCATTCTAGCAATTTTCAGTATTAATTGTACTAGAATATTTTATATTATTTATTCTTCTTGTTTTGTTGTAATATTCGTTCTAACGTTCTTGTTCCCTCTTTGTCGTAATAGTCAATTCTGAAGTTGATGCATTTGTTATAATGCCAACTGTGATAATTCTTCGTCGTTTTTGTAGTAATAGTCATTAATGAAGTATTGTTTTGAGAAGCCAAAACATGTCTGGGAGACCAAGACGATGAGGATAGGCATATCAAAATTTTCAGAAAGGACCACCAGAAATAACTAGACTTATTGGAAAAATATCTAGATCTGTTCACACTGGTAAAACAAAATTCTAGATTATGTCGTTTATCGTTAGCATTTTATTATCTCTTATAATCCTGGTCTGCCAGTAATCTCTATAACCTTCAACTGGACTAGTCAGAAAGTAACATATAGACATCCACAGATAAACAGATGTATATGTCCATTGCCTAATAATCAAATCTGAAGTTTTTGTAATAGTCTATTCAACACTTGTTTTTCTGTTATTTGAAAAAAAATTTCAAAGTTTTTCTGAATAGGGTTTGTCTTGACGCAGCACTGAAGATGGCGAGAAGCCGACGTTCATCTCCACCTAACTACTAATAGTAATATCTAAAGGAAAATTGACTAGATCTGTTCTACCTGTGAAAAAAATATTTTTTCGCCTCTGATCATCCTGTTTCGCCTATGTTGAAAGTTATGTCGTTTACCTTCAACTGGACTATTAAAAAAATTATATGTGTACATCTCCTGAAGGATTTACAGAACGCTGTCAGTACTCGTTTTTAAGGAGCTGAAACCATCTAGAACTGGATTATCAATAGAAATTACATATAAATCAATTTGGTGTGTTCATAATTTATTGAAATAACCACTTCTTTGTATACTTGAAGGCTTTTTTTAAAAACACTTTCTTTTTTTTAAAGTAATTAATTGCTGTTAATGATAAAAACTAAACATATTAATGACTTGGTCGAAATAACCAAACAATCAAACATTTGCATTTTATTTATTTGTACAAAGGAAGAAAGACATTCTCTCCAAGCTATAGCGAATATTTGTTTGATTTACTAGGTTAATAGTCAAAAAATATTTGAAATAAGAAACTTGAAATTATAGTATGCATTTCCCATAACTATTTATCCTTTTTTTCTTCACTTTTTTGTCTTACTTTCACAAATAATTGTTGTTTCTACAATGCAAATGCTGTTAAGAAGAGAAAAAAAATCAAAGAAAATTTTATATTTAATAATACTGATTGAATAATATTCAGAAAGTTAGGACAGTTAGTAGCCTGCTGTCAAAGCAGCACTTACGGGGGGTTGTTTTTGGTTTCTACTCCCCCCAGCAGATCGCTCCTAAACCTTCTACCGCCTTTCGGCCCTCAGCACCGCACAATCGTGCTCTGTATTATTAAATTTGTCTAGCTTCTCCTTTTCTTCCCAGCCGAGGCGTACAAGTTTTAAAGATTCATTTTCAATTGGGGCACAGTTTTCCCTTTAATTATTAATTTCCATAGGTGACATAACCTGGGAAAGGAGCCCAGTTTTATACAGAAAAATTGCTTTGTTTTCATCTTTTTGTAATCAACATTTCAGGAGAACTAATGTATAACATAAAAAAATAGTCGGTAGTACTTAAGGTAGTAAACTTAGTACCTATATTAAAACCTTTCTTTTCACTTTTTCTTGAAGATTTTCATTTTCGCTTAAATCATCACAGATACAATAAATAATAATTTAAATAATTTTATAAACAAAGGGTGAAAAATGAAGAATTGAAAGTGATGTGCACAGTTATTTAAATTCCTTTTTCTTTTCTAATGTGTTCATTTTTTACTCGTGCTGTTTGTACTTTTTACTCCATAGTAATTCTACATTTAATTTGAGTCTACAAAAGTGAGTGATACAGAGAAAGTGAGAGAGAGAGAGAGAGAAAGATTCATTTTCACTTGAATTATCATGAATACTGGTCGTAGCTTTTACTACATAATAATTCTACATTTAATTTGAGTCTATGCCTAGGTTCTTATGTTCTGTGTATAGGATATTAATTTATAAAAGTTGTCCGCTTATTATGATAGTTCTGGTTATTTAGTAATGTTTGTCCAAGATAAATAAAAGATCTGAACAATTGAACGAAAAAACAGAATGAGCGAGTGTGAGAGAGAAAAAGTGAGTGATAGAGACAGAGAGAGAGCCTAAACATTTATAAAAGTTGTCCGTTTATTATGATAGTTCACTTCGTGTCTGGTTATTCCAGTAATGTTTGATCTTCCAAGATATATAAAAGATATGGACAATGGAACGAAAAAAACAGAAAGAGAGAGAAAGAGAGAGAGAGAGAGAGAGAGAGAGAGAGAAAGTGAGAAATAGAGAAAGCGAGAGAGGGAGAGTGATATGAGAAATAAAGAAAATAAGAGAGTTGGAAGGGAAAAAGAGAGATAAAGTGGAAAAGTAGAGAAAGTGAGATGGTAGGGGAAAGTGAGAGAGAGGGAATGGGAGGAATAGAGAAAGTGAGAGAGAAGGGAAAAGGGTGAGAGAGAAAGTTAGAAATAGAGAAAGTGAAACAGAGAAAGCGAGAAAGAGAGAGAGAATGAAAAGGGGACAGAGAGAGAGAGAAAGAAAAGGGGAAAGAGAGAGAGAGAGAAAGTGAGGAATAGAGAAAGTGAGAAATAGAGAAAGTGAGAGAGAGAAAGATAATGGGAATGAGAGAGAGAAAGTGAAAAATAGAGAAATTAAGATAGAAGGGGAAAGGAATAAATAGAGAAAGTAAGAAAGAAGGGGAAAGTGAGAAATAGAGAAAGTAACAGAGAGAAAGGGAAAGTAAGAAATAGAGATAAGGGGAAAGTGAGAAATAAAGAAAGTGAGAGAGACATGAGAAATAAAGAATGTAAGATTGAGAGAAGGGGAAAGAGGGAAAGAAAGCAAGAAATAGAGAAAGTGAGAGAGAAGCGAAAGAGAGAGAGAGAAAGTGAGAAATAGAGAAAGTGAGAAAGAGAGAGAAAGAAAATGGGAATGAGAGAGAGAGAAAGTGAGAAATAGAGAAAGTGAGAAAGAGAGAGAGAGAGAAAGTGAGAAATAGAGAAAGTGAGAGAGATATGAGAAATAAAGAAAGTCAGATTGAGAGAAAGGGAAAGAGAGAAAGTAAGAAATAGAGAAAGTGAGAGAGAAAGGGAGAAATAGAAAAAGTGAGAGAGAGAAAGTGAGAAATAGAGAAAGTGAGAGAGAAAGGGAGAAATAGAGAAAGTGAGAGAGAAAGGGAGAAATAGAGAAAGTGATAGAGAGATAAAGGGAAAGCCAGAGAGAAAGTCAGAAATAGAGCCTAAAAATTGATAAAAGTTGTC